ACAGTGCACAGGGCGAGGAGAAGCTAGGGCCCTTCCCCGGGAATTTTTCTCAACAATGCTTTCCGATATAACACATAATATCTGACACCAGTCTTTGCTTTAACATACACCAGTCTTTGCTTTAACATTTGTAAAACTGTGATACGTAAATATTTTTTTAATTACACTGAAGAAAGTAAAATAGTCAGCTGTAAGAGAATGTAAAGTTGGCTCAGTTATGGTCTAAATGTTAGCTCCTGAAAGTCGTATCGTGTGTGCTGGGCTATTTATAACCATATAGAAACTCCTAAATAACATACATAGAGATGTGACCTTATACTCTGAAGAGTAAGTAAATAAGCCTAGCAGTTTTTATAACATAGAAGATGCACAATAAACATCTGCCAAATATAAACATACACTATTTAATATCTAGTACCTGAGGCTATTAATTACTAAACTGGATGTTAAGTAATGAGAAACTGAATGGCAAAGGAAAAAAGTATACCTTTCCTTAAAGCTCAAAAGTAGAAAAAAATCCATTGTTAAAGTTCCTAGATGAAGCATCTGCAATATCCTTTCAAATCATAAGAAAAGAAAAAGATAAACAAAAAAAGCCTGTCCCATTTCAGGCAAAAAGTAGTCAATATAAAAACTCCATTTTTTATTCAATATATCTGTGGAAAATTCTATAACGTTTTCCTGCCTGATGAAATATACTCTTGATAACATGTCACATTTTTAATTAAACAAGTCTTAAAACTATTCACCTATTTATTAGATAGTGTTTGTCTGCCTTATTTATGGAAAAGCAGCACTGAACAAAACGCACTGTACATAAACAGTAACTTCAAAATGGAAAGCTAAATTCATGCCATCTCATAAAAGTAGTCAGCAGGAAAAAGCCATCCTTCCTAAACTTAAAATGTAAGGAACATTAATCTTCAACCACCTACAAATATCGAGGACAAATGTACCACTCTCCTTGCTCCTTCTTAACTCAAGAATAACAATAAACCTTACTCTCTGAAACAACAAAAGAAACAGAAAAGAGCTTCAGTGGCAGCTCTGTGTCATTAGTGGACAATGAGAAAAGATGAGAAAACGTACACTATGTTGACACAAATGTACCTTCCCCTCTAGAACCGACATCTCCTGAAAGCTTTTCTGTTAAACTTCCCTCCAGTTCACCACCATTAAGCACAAAAAAGTCTCAAAAGAAGCAAATTCAATATCTGAGAGGAAACAAACAAGAACCCAAAGAATTGTTGCCTTAAAATATATTAAGTCCACCTGTGGTCAATAAAAATATTCTTGCTGGGGGGAGGGCAGGAAAAGCCCCTACGAGTCAATTGTCAACAGTGACTGTACCTTTACTGCTAGCTATTACCCACTTAAACTCCCTCTAAAATTTGCTAGCCTCTTGATTTCTGAAGTGGCACTCAGTGCCTCAGTCAAGCTGCCTGCTCAGCTCCTGACCTTCCCACTAATGGCTGTTATTTGTGGGAGGCTTAAGGACACTGTCAATAGCAAGCTTCCTCCTCCTTCCACTCAGGCTCTGTTGTATCACTTTGCCTGTGTGTTTTTTTGCCTGTGTGTTCTCTCGCCTCTCACTCGCCCTCTCCTTGTCTCTTTCTCCCCCTCCTTCACTCCCTCTTCCTCTTTTTCTAGCCCCCACCCCTTTTTTCTATCAGTCCTGCAGTCCTCTTCTTTCCCAGGTATCCTACCCCCGACCCCACACACACACTAACAACACAAAAATCAACTGGCATGCAGCAGCAAGCACCTGCAGTAATAGACTCTTTTATTAAAACTGTTATTCTGCAAGACTTGAAATTCCCCGTGGACCGGGCCATGTCAAAGCCGATATAATTAACTAGAGGCTCAGCAACGGATCAATTACCAGACAAGCAAGTGATAGTGAAATCAATGAAAGATCATCAGCCACATTATCAGTGTTGCAACTCATTAGGGCAAAACTGAGAAATGTGCTCAAAGCGAGCCCAAGCAAGGTGGCATTACAAAACAAAGGGCTAATTTGGAGACCCTGCTGTGAACAATCTGTAACAGAATTAGCCTTTTTTCCCCCTAAACTGCACAGCTCCGTAACTAAATGTGACAGACTGAGAGAAGCAGTTTATTAAGACACCAACCCCAAGTTTATTTAGTTCATAAACTCTCTCCTAGAAAATCAATACAGTCTGTACAGGGTTATTAGGCTGACTAGCTAATACATCCAAATCTAGTCTGCCCAGCCAGCAGTCTTCTGACAAAATGCTACCCAGTATAGGCAAACTGAGCTCTTTCAGATATCAAGGACTGAGGTGGCCCTGGCTGAAACAGGTCTGCAATATAACATGTCATTGCCACAACACAAGCCTTAAAAACAGCAGGATATCTTTCTAAGGTTTAAAAAATATATTTTTATAACAAATATACAGTAGTGCACCTGCTAAATGGATTTGCTCAAACAAAATCTTAACTATTTTGTAACACAAGTTTACAAAGAGGACAAGCTTTGTTACAAAAAGAGACAACAATTAATCCAGACTCAATAATAAATAAGATTTTAAGTTTCTCTAACACTCATTTTAACAAAAATATTTGAAAAGAACATTTGACCCCTCTATAAATCCCCAAGATACATGATCTGAACTTCCACATATAACATACTGTGTAGAATATTTGATGTTAGGATAATTTCTATCTAACAACTGGGACACCTGTATTGTTTTACAGACACAGGTACAAAAAAATACACCTACAAGGCACAAATACGCCTTTTGAGTTTTTTCCACTGGCTACGTAGTCTGACAATTATGGAATAACTCTCTGGAATCATTTATATGAAAATTATTTAAAACTAGGAGGAAGAAGACAAGTATCACTTCCACAATAATTGCTTTTTGCTGCTGATTCTGAGTATTTCAGGTTAAAGAATCAGAAGCACTTAAATGCCATCTGTTGGCTTTCCCACATTTACTGATAGTGAGAGATGGACCATGGAAATTATGGAGTCCACCAAACTAGGTTTCACTGCATCCAAGTTCAAGACATTGTGGGAATGTGACTACCTCCCCCACATCACACCACATAAGCAAAAATATACTTACACAAAGTAAGAAACTCAAAAGCATTTTACAATGGTAAAATAGACTGGAGAACCAAAGGGAAAAAACACAATGGCTCTGAAAGTGATTTCTGATGTTGACGATGTTTTAACATTTAAAATCTTCCAAGAAAAGGAATGCACTATAACATGCCTTTCATACTCTAATACACTAAATCCTAAACTTAAAAAGAAATCTTTATTTTCATATAACTATAGTAAAATTCAATTTATAGATTGCTGTAATTAAACATTTTCCCTGTAACTTTCGAGCTGACACCTTATTAAGCATTTCATAGCTCATGTTTTTGAGTAATCTGTAAAAAAGTCAGACATATATATTCTAAACCTGTGCTATAGGTGCCATGTTTTGGATAGTAATTAAAAGTTGTAATTGCAGGGAAATTTTACTTTTTAAAACCTTTTTGCATATAATTACACACTGTGCATGCACCCTCAATGAGATCCAATTAGTTACAAAAAATTTGCATTTCAGTTAGTGTGGGATAACAAGACTATAGGGAGGCACAATGCAATTCCACCAGCAGAGTAAAAAAGTGTGTTCTTTCTTGTTAGCTCTGTAAGCAATAATTCCCACAACCAACTGTTTAAAATGTTACTGATCTTTTCAGTACTTGAGTATTACGGTGGGTTTTGGGTTTTTCCCTCCATTTTCTAAAAAAAAAAAAAAATCACATGTTGGTGTAAAAAATCAGCCACAATGAATACATGAAAACGCAAGTGAGCAAAGAATTTTGTTTTGCATGTATGTTTGTCGGGTGTTTTCTTTGAGGGGAAGGGCATATAGCATATATTTTCTTCTTTCTACTTAATTTCTTTAAAAGCACATTGCTTTCTTAAAATAAGTTATATAACTGCAGGAAAAAAACCTCATTGAGTTCTATGTAAATATATATGATTTTATGATAAAAGCACACATTTGCTGCACTGAGAAAGTACTCTAGGATTTTTTTTTTTTTCTGTCTCGAACAATGTAAATCCTGTACACAGAACAATACCTGTAATTCCCTGGGTTCACTTCAGCAACTGTTAACAGATTCTATAATCTGCAATGTGCTCTGCCTTTGCTCTTCTTTTATTCACTATTCATTTTCAAGGCTTGGTTAAGTACAGAGCTGGGTTAAAGATCAGTGGTTTTTCATGTGACACATGCTGGTATTCATCTAATGGCTTGTCAAGACAAAACTGTCCCTGTTCTTGCCAAAATAATAAAAATGACGCTCCACGTCGCATGACAATCAGCACTTCCTTATGGCGAAACAAATCAAGCTTTTGTAATTCATTTATTTTATAGAAAAAAAATGTTAAAAACTGGCTATCCAATCTTGTATGTGGAATCAGGTTGCCATTCTTAAAGAAGAGTTTTAAAATGTTTTGCCCTCTCTTAATTCTAGAGCAACATATAAACTAGTTTCTAATCAAATCAGACTTTACCATATAAAAATAATGCTGAAGTTACAAATTCATATGGCATTAAGGTATATAACTTAATATATGCAAATTATGCAGCAGGCTGGACTCAGTCACAGAGGTGGGGGAACCAACTGAGGAAATGTCATTTTTCTTGAGAACAAAGTATGGGACTTGCTTTCCAACATCTGTTGGGCTGTGTGAAATGTTAACAGATGTCTTAAATGAAAAAAGGAAAAATAAGTAATAAAGGAAACCTCTTCTGAACAGATAATCCACCCACATTTCCATACTCCTGAGGAAAGAAGTTGACAGCAACCTTTTTCCCTTGTGAAACCTGCCATCCTTACTTCATTGTGTAAAGTTTCATTTTCTATGTGAAGTTAAGGGGAAAAAATTTTTGACTCACTGTAAAGAAATGAATAAAGTAAAACAATAATTTCAACTCAGGTTTTCCCTTTGTAAAAAATTATATCATAATTTAAGCTGCCTGTTTTCCCTGGACTCACATATGTAAATAGATGGAAAGACAGTAAAAACTTCACCTCCTCCCACCCCAAAAAAAGAAAACTACACGCACAAAGATGAAACATTACTCTACTATGCTTACATTAACTCTGTTGGCATGGAGTAGGGAGGCGGAAAAGTAAAGAGTAGCTTGTAAGATAAAGTTCTGATATGAAGCCATCTCTACTCATAAACGTACTCATCTTCACAATTAAGATTCACCTATCATTAGTCAGGCATGGTGGCAGGCACCTGTAATCCCAGCTACTCAGGAGGCTAAGGCAAAAGAATCGCTTCAACTTGGGAGGTGGAAGTTGCAGTGAGCCAAGATCACGCCACTGCACTCCAGCCTGGACAACAAGAGCGAAAACTCCATCTCAAAAAAAAAAAAAAAAGATTCACCCATTATTTACACCTAAGTCCCTGCACTGTCCCACTGGCTCCTAATTTCCTTTCATTACCATACTTATAAGAGATGAAACACTCCTCTTACAACAGCCAAGTGCTCCACAGCAGTAAAGTCTGATATTCATGAAAAATTTTGGAGAATACTAGTTGGATCCCCGTATTTAAACTTTAAGGAACCTGGACAAATACTTTCCTAGTTAACAATTCCCTTTTGTGTTTCAATTTATAGACGATCTAGCCAAGCCTAAATGTAGCAGCCTTTAATTCCGATTAACATGTTGATGCATGCATGCCAACTACTGGATCTAACCTAGTGCCTATCTGTGAATGAATGAACTAGACACCTATCTGCTTCTATACGTCTTCCTCTTTGGAAACACCTATATTCTATTGCTTATTCTCTTAAAAACCTGGGACATGAATTTGGGTTAACAGCTTATAGATGAACAAATTCAAAATGCACTTATGGGTCTTTACAGATTCAAATAAGGAAAGAAAAAGCTTATGATTTTCAGAAGATTTTTCAGGCTGGCAATCAGAAAAAGCTGATTGCCAGCCTCAGTCACTGGCCTCTCTCTCATTATAAGAGTCCTTTAGAATTATACATGTTACTTCATATTTACAACTCTACCTTCTCCAGATGGTTCTGGCCACCTTGACTGGGCATTTCAACATAGAGAAGGCTTCATCAGAACAGCCTGAAGATTTCAAGGGGCAAGATCATGGTCCAAGTTGCAAATAAGACACGAAGGCATGCCTTCAGTTTTCGGTTGGTTTGCTTTTTGTCAAAGTATTGTGAGTACTATATGGTCCAATGTTTACACATAAGAACATGATATCCGAGCCCGTGACAAAAAAAAAAAATAATAACCACTCACCTACAGGGAGGAACAAAGTTTGTGTACTGAAGACTTCATTACATGCCCTTAGAACAAGAGAGGAAAATAGGCCTTCTAACGTAAGGTTGGAGGAGGACCCAGGGTCAAATCACTTTAAACAGTGACACAAACATCCCCCATAACTAAATATTATCTAAAAGCTTCACCCTTCTCAGCAAAAGGGAGAAACTGGTCTAGTTGACACGTGTGTCTCTACCAACTAAAACAATCAATGTAATACAGTATCTGCTGACAGCCTAATCAGGGCCTCAGTTTCATAGAAACACATCAAGGAAATATCCAAAAGCCATAATCCCTTGATGCACTACAAAAATTTTAAAATAAAAGGATTTGAGTAGGTATGGTAGATGAGATAGTTTACAAAATGTTAGGGAAATGATGAATCCTTAGACTCAAGATATTTGCAGATAATAAAAGCAGCTGAGGTCAGCATGAATCTTGTGCCTACAAAAGGTCAAACAATTTACCTACCTTGTTTTGGTTTAAAAAAAGAAAAAGTGACTTTATTAATCTTCTCTCAAGTCCACAGTAACAGTGGCTTCTTTTTATCAAACCTATATTCAATGTTTTATGAGAACATCTAGAAGGAAAGAACCAGTGATGGCTTTACTTAAATGAATTTAAAACAAACAAACAAAAAAACCGGCTAGGGGCATACACAATGGGAAATGACTTTAACATGAACATGAAAGTTGCAAGAATCACAAAGGTAATGCTAATTTCTTTGTTTTTTGTTTTTGTTTTTGTTTTTGTTTTTTTGAGACGGAGTCTGGCTCTGTCGCCCAGGCTGGAGTGCAGTGGCCGGATCTCAGCTCACTGCAAGCTCCGCCTCCCGGGTTCACGCCATTCTCCTGCCTCAGCCTTCCGAGTAACTGGGACTACAGGCGCCCACCACCTCGCCCGGCTAGTTTTTTTGTATTTTTTAGTAGAGACGGGGTTTCACTGTGTTAGCCAGGATGGTCTCGATCTCCTGACCTCGTGATCCGCCCGTCTCGGCCTCCCAAAGTGCTGGGATTACAGGCTTGAGCCACCGCGCCCGGCCTGTTTTTTGTTTTTGTTTTGAGACAGGATCTCTCTCTGTCTTCCAGGCTGGAGTGCAGTGCTGCGATTTCGGGTCACTGCAAGCTCCACCTTCTGGGTTCAAGCAATTCTCCTGCCTCAGCCTACCAAGTAGCTGGGATTACAGGCGCGTGCCACCACCCCCGGCTAATTTTTGTACTTTTGGTAGACGGGGTTTCACCACTTTAGCCAGGCTGGTCTTGAACTCCTGGCCTCAAGTGATATGCCCGCCTTGCCCTCCCAAAGTGCTGGGATTACAGGCGTGAGCCAACATGCCCAGCTAAGGTAATGTTAATTTCCTTACTTACTTCCTTCTAAAGTCTGTGGGCCAAGAAGCTTGCAGCCTCAGTAAAGGTGCCATAATAATGGTTAAAATTATTGTCAGAAAAGAAGATTGAGATTCACCAACATCCAGGAAAATCATGTTGCAGGCCAGATGCGATGGCTCACGCCTGTAATCCCAGCACTTTGGGAGGCTGAGGCAGGTGGATCACTTGAGGACAGGAGTTCAAGACCAGTCTGGCCAACATGGCGAAATCCCACCTCTACTAAAAATATAAAAGTTAGCCAGGCACAGTGGCACAGGCCTGTAATCCCAGTTACTCAGGAGGCTGAAGCAGGAGAATCACTTGAACCTAGGAGGCGGAGTTTGCAGTGACTCAAGATCGTGCCACTGCACTCCATTCTGTTTTAAAAAAAAAAAAAAAGAAAGAAAGAAAGAAAAAATAAAATCATACTGCAGGGCAGAGCTCAGTACCTTACAAAATTATTGAAAAACTCAACACTGCCTTTAGAATTATCACAGAAAAACAGCAACTCTAAAAATGATACTCCCTCATATGCAATTTACAAACCTAAAAAATAAACTTAAAAAATAAAATCCCAGTATAAAGTTTCAAAAATGTTTATAAAACCAGAGACTATTTTTTATTATTATTGTTTATTATTATTATTATTTTTCGAGACAGAGTCTCGCTTTATCACCCAGGCTGGAGTGCAGTGGTGCAATCTCAGCTCACTACAACCTCCGCCTCTCAGGTTCAAGCGATTCTCCTGCCTCGGCCTCCTCAGTAGCTGGGATTACAGGCGTGTGCCACTATGCCTGGCTAATTTTTATATTTTTAGTAGAGATGGGGTTTCACTATGTTGGTCAGGCTGGTCTCCAACTCCTGACCTCATGATCTGCCTCCCTCAGCCTCCCAAAGTGCTAAGATTACAGGCGTGAGCCACTGGGCCCAGCCTATTCATTTTTTTTCTTTTTGAGATGGAGTTTCACTCTTGTTGCCCAGGCTGGAGTGCAATGGCACGGTCTCAGCTCACCGCAACCTCCGCCTCCCAGATTCAAGCAATTCTCCTGCCTTAGTCTCCTGAGTAGCTGGGATTACAGGTATGCGCCTCCATGCCCAGCTAATTTTGTATTTTTAGTAGAGACAGGGTTTCTCCATGTTGGTCAGAACTCCCAGCCTCAGGTGATCCGCCTGCCTCAGCCTCCCAAAGTGCTGGGATTACAGGCGTGAACCACCATGCCCAGTTCAGCCTATTATTTTTTAAGTGATAGGATCTTGCTCTGTTGGGGCTAGAGTGCAGTGCACAATCATAGCTCACTGGAACCTCAAACCCCTGGCCACAAGCAACCCTCCCATCTCAGCCACCACACCTAGCTTTTTTTTTTTTTTTTAAAGATGGGGTCTTGCTATGTTACCCAGGCAAGTCTGGGAACTCCTACCGTCAAGCAATCTACTGGCCTTGATAGAGACTATTTATATGCATATATATTTAAATCGAAAAATGTTGAAACAAAGCAAATGTTCATGAACTTAGAGATTGTCTTCCAAATTAAGAAACCCAAAAGATGCCAGAAACCTATTAACGGCAAGTTAAAAATATGAACACTTAACAGGTCGCTTAGAAGATCTGCACAGTGATTGTCTTTGGTGGAGAAGAGTGGCTGGGCTAAGGGACACTTTTGGGGCTCAGGTAGTGTTATGTATCTCCATCTAGTTGGTGGTCCTGGGTATATTCACTGTGTAAAATTTATCAGGCTGTACGCTTTTATTTGTGTACTTTTCTGTAAGTATGTTAAACTTCAGTTTTACAAGTTTACTATTAACACTATTAATATAGTACTACTATTAAAAATAGTAATAACAATAAACTAGCCCTAAAACAGTATGAAAGAAAGAACAGAAAAAGAAAAAGAGAAGTAAGTACAGGTGGGGAGAGAAACAATAGAAGGCAGATACTTTATCACATTCAAAATCATTCAAATAACCATCATTAAATCTACTTTCCATGATTTCTTCAGGGGCAAGAAGTGTTAGGAAGCAAGTAAATATCTGAGTTTCATAGAATGAGGATGAGTATGAAAGACAGTAAAAGAGTGGCAGAAAGAACAGGTGAGAGAAATATCTTAACTAGGTAGTCAAAGCATGCGAGTGTGTCCAAGTAACTTAAAGGGGAAAAAAAAAAAAACACAACATACCTCAATTTGAGATGTATCAACCCCACAACATGGGACCTTGAAATATGCTGGCCAATCTTGCTCACTAAGCCTGTCGTCTGATTTGTAATTAAGGCTATGTGGAGGTGGAGTAGGCCCAAGGTGTGCCTATTGAGAGATTGGGAAAGGAAATTACATATGCCCAGACAGTATTACTTAAAAGCACTGAGTACATCAAAACTTCTTTTTAAGAAATTGCAAATATAACACACCAATGACGAACTAAACACATTTTTTTTTTTCTTTTTTTTTTTGAGATGGAAGTCTTGCTCTGTCACCCAGGCTGGAGTGCAGTGGCGTGATCTCGGCTCACTGCAAGCTCCGCTTCCCGGGTTCACGCCATTCTCCTGCCTCAGCCTCCCGAGTAGCTGGGACTACAGGCGCCCACCACCACACCCAGCTAATTTTTTGTATTTTTAATAGAGACAGGTTTTCACCATGTTAGCCAGGATGGTCTCAATCTCATGACCTCGTGATCCGCCCACCTTGGCCTCCTAAAGTGCTGGGATTACAGGCGTGAGCCACCGCACCTGGCCCTAAACACAGTTTTAAAGAGTTAATAGTTTCTAAGGCTGATAGTAGCCAACCGCTAAATAAACTTTGGTGAGAACTAAAGTAACAAAGTGGGAATAACTGAATAATTTGCTAATTGATAATGGATACACTTTTGGCCTGCCTAGCTCAATTTCTTACTCCCTTTTCTTCCACTTAATATGACACTTTTAACTGCTGTTAGGGAATACTAATCACCGCCTCCCCACCCCGCTACCCCACTCCCTTGCCAAGTACAAGAAGCTGCAGAGAACACAACCTTAACAAAAACAGAATGGGAAATGAAATGAGCGCAGAATTCCACAGAAACTTAAGAGATTCCTTCCAGCCAGTGTGGTTAAAAAAAAAAAAAAAAGCTTCTACGCCGAGGCAGGTTTTGCTCTTGCACTGAGCATCCGGATTATATTCCTAGAGAAGTAATACAGTTTGACTGGAACATAAGGGAAGATGTACATAGAAGAACAATGAATGAAATGGATGTAGTGGTTGATAGGAACTATTATAAAAGTAAGGCCCCTATACTCCACTACAAAGAATTGTATCCACCAACAGTCTAAACTACTATCCACCAACAGTCTATCCACCAACAGTCTAAACTACTAAAGCTTCTCAACAGCAGTAACGTCTGATCATTATTTTACTCCAAGAAGATTTATCTGGCAACAGTATGACAGATGGACTGAAGTGTGAAAAGACAAAAGCGGGGTCCAGTTAGGAAGACATTAAAATAGGCTGGGCACAGTGGCTCATGCCTGTAATCCCAAACTGTGGAAGGCCAAGGCGGGCAGATCACCTGAGGTCAGGAGTTCAAGACCATCCTGGCCAAAATGGTGAAACCCCATCTCTACTAAAAATACGAAAAAAAAAAAAAAATCAGCCAGGTGTAGTGGTGCATGCCTGTAGTCCCAGCTACTTGGGAGGCTGAGGCAGAAGAATCAGCTGAACCCAAGAAGCAGAGGTTGCAGTGAGCAGAGATTGTGCCATTGCACTCCAGCCTGGGCAATAAGAGCAAAACTCCATCTCAATCAATCAATCAATCAATAATCTGGGTAAATTACTGGCAATAGGGCTGAAGAAAACAAAAAGGACAAGATACAAAAGATACTGTGAAGATAAAATCAAGGGGACCAGAATGACTGTAACAAATGAGAAGTGTCAACAATGACACTAAAGTTCTAATAGTCTGAGCACAGGAAAATGGTAGCGTTATCAACAGAAAGGGGGGTGAACTATTTTGTGAGAATATGTATCAGGTTCAGTATGGGGGAACAGCAGATCATGCAGATAACCAGGCAACTAGAAATGTTACAAAACAGACTGACACTGAAGTTATCACATCCAGCAGCCATCTACACAGACCTGACCCAAGAGATAAACAAGTGGCCAAGGTCAGTATCTCAGGGGATACCCATGGTTATTAGGGGGAAAAAAAGAAGGAACAGAGTTAACAGGAGCATTGTGATTGTCCCACGTTCCACATGATAAGGGAAAACAGTTGAGAGAAGATAGGATGCTTGAGACTTTTAAATGATCTAAAACAACAAGACTTATGTTTAGGGTATGGTTAAAACCAAGTGAAATACTAAGTAGAAGGAAATACAGTAAGAACAAACCAAAAGGCAAGGGAATAATAAATACCAAAATCAGAATAGTGCTTAAGGATGGAATATGGGGAAAGGCAGACGGGGAGATTGACAGTGAGTGACACAGTATAATTTCAATGGTAACCCTAGTCTTCAGATGTGTTTGTACATATTAGTTCCTAAACTTGGGTCAATGGGTGTTCAACATACCATTCTTCATGAATATTTGTGGCTGAAATATTTTATTAGGCTTTGTGCCATAAGAGTGAATGTCTTTGTGGATTGATAGGTATACAGAATCCACATTGCAGAAGAGTTAAGAAGTAAGCAAATTGTGAAGACAAAGAGGCAGAAAAGATAAAATATTCTTTGGAGAAATTCTGCAAAGAAAACAAGTAAGAGAAACGTGGTCTGAAAAGTTAGAGGAGCTCGGACAGGTTGTGTTCATAAGTTGGCAGTTTGTTTTTCACTACAGGGAAAAAAGAGACTATCACAGGCAAAGGGGACGAAGCCAGCAGAGAAAAGGATATTGAAGATCTAAGCCAGAGGGAAAATGGTATGAAAGGGTCCGAGGAGAGAATATGATCAAGAGCACAAATGAAAAGGGTGCCCCTGGAGGGAGAAAAAAGAAACCCTTTTTTCCCCTCAGAAACCAAAGGTAAGAGATACAGAAAAAAAAAAAATCTGTGGTTAAGAAATACATATATTAAAACTGCTCATGTTAGAAAACCAGTTTATTACTAGTCTCTTCCACTAAATTGTACACTTCTTAAAAGGGACAGAATTTTTATTTGCTAATTCACGGTCTAACAGGGTGCTCAATAAATGAGAAAAGTAAAGATGGGGCTATGTGGTGAGGGAGACCTGATAGGAAGGAATCGAGGAGTACCAGAAGGAAGAAAAGGTTGGGTCCAACTGGAAAGGGTAAAGTGAAACTCTGCTATAATCCCAGCATTTTGGGAGGCCGAGGCGGGCGGATCACCTGAGGTCAGGAATTCGAGACGAGCCTGACCAACATGGAGAAACCCCGTGTCGACTAAAAACACAAAATTAGCTGGGTATGGTGGCGCATGCCTGTAATCCCAACTACTCAGGGGCCTGAGGCAGGAGAATCTCTTGAACCGGGGAGGCGGAGGCTGCGGTGAGCCGAGATCACACCATTGCTCTCTAGCCTGGGCAACAAGAGCGAAACTCTGTCTCAAAAAAAAAAAAAAAAAAGAAACTCTGTATCAGTAAGAAATGAGTAACAGAAATGGCAAATAGCAGAACTCAGCCTGGATTCCCACAAAAGCGTGAGAAATAATAAACAAGCTGACTGGGTCCAAGAAAGTATAGCTCAGAGTTCCCAGTTTGGGAAGTGAAATACTTAGAACCAGCAAGGAGTTCTCGACACAAAGAGAAAAATACCTTGCTCTAAAACATACACCATGCCAGGTGCAGTGGCTCACACCTGTAATCCCAGCACTTTGGGAGGACAAGGCAGGTGGATCACCTGAGGTCAGGAGTTCAAGACCAGCCTGGCCAACATGGTGAAACCCCGTCTCTACTGAAAATACAAAAATCAGCCAGGAGTGGTGGTACACGCCTGTAGTTCTGGCTACTCAGGAGGCTGAGATACGAGAATCACTTGAACTTGGGAGGTGGAGGTTGCAGTGAGCTGAGATCACGCTATTGCGCTCCAGCCTGGGTGACAGAGTGAGGCTCTGTCTCAAAAAAAAAAAGACAATAACACATATACCTTGATGGACAATACTATGTTATAAATCATCGTCATTATGCAGCATTCTCATAGTGTATAGTTCTTATGAAGAAAATAAAGTAAAACACTGAGAACTGATTTTGGATGAAATTAGTCTTTATTTAGGTTTCCCCAAATTCAAACTGTTTAGTATGTAGCGTTCTAATGTCTATGAATTTATTTCTGGCTAGGAAATTTCCCAAAGCCAACAAAAATCAAAATACTTTATGCTATGTCACCTATGTGATTTGAACAAAGGCATAAAAGATGTGGAATAATTTCACTTCATTAATAAACATAAGACAAAGCTGAAGAGAGCCAAGTTCCACTCCTTATTGTCCGATTCCTGTCTCCAGAACTGCAATTGTGGTCCAAAGTCACAGCAGCTTTCTGGCCAATTAGCGAGGTCTGCATTAGCAGAACTCAGTACTTCTAGTCCAGAATCCCTCTAGAGAGCAGGGAAATGATGGGTTCCATCACCTGGCCAACATCAGCAACCGCCAGAGTCACCTTAGGGACACAGACAAAGACATTCATCTACTGTACTGGCAGCCTCTACAACCTGCCTTCCTAACAGAGTCCTTTCTGTGAAGACCACTATCTAAGTGACCTGTCATAGAGCTTTATAAAGCAGCATTAATACTGTGGGCCAAAATGAGATTGATCTTTGAGCTTCGTGGTCTCCTGTTGTCAACAGTGCATTATAAAACCAATACTAAATACTTTATAAACAGGTCTCCCTACAGTATATTAGAAAAACAGTGCATATTTCATGCCCCATAGTTAGGTAGCCACATATCCATCAGACAAATAAATTATTTATTAGGTGCTCAGAAGTGCAATAAGAGTCAATAAACTAACTTCTGGATACTTATAAGCTACTATTTCACTGGAAATTGTACCTGAATGAGAAAACTGTCTCACTAACTGAATAGGGGGTGGAAATATCTCGGCTCTCTCAAGTGTACTGTCAGAAGGAAGCATAGGCCTCATGAGTGAGAAAGGACAAAATCCCCACACCCTGAAAAAAGTCCTAGTTATTAAATTACAAAGAAAGCGTCATCCAACCCTATGCTCATTTCTTTTCTCTTGTGTATAGATTCCTCTGGTTCTGCTATCCTTGGAGACAGCTCGGGGAAATAAAAATTGGTGGAAACGTTTCTAACACACCCTGAGTCAGGCCAGATGACAACCACCAATAATGGTTTGCATTTGACATCTCCAAAGAAACTACA